CCCCCCCCCCCACACCCTTTGAATATGCTACGGATCCAAGTTAAACAACATGTTCGAATTTAGATCATTTTCATCTAATTGTGTTTGTTTGGCGACCATATTGCAATTGACCGTGACAACATGGCTTACAAGTTGGACTCACCAGCGTACATGTATAACAAAATCATTTTCTTATATGGCTTCCACTGCCCTAGGATAAACACAAGAAAAATATTAATTCAAATGTGACATGAATATTTATTTTTAATTCTACTACAATGACTACTATTATTCAAAACTTGAGTGTCTGACTGCTATGTGACCTTTGGTGTTAATATTTGTCAGGGTCGGAAATATAAGGAGGCATTTGATTCGCTGATTGATATGCATAAATCAGCAGCTTTATCACAATTACCTCAGATGCATACAAAATCCTGTTCCTATATATTTTGCATAGATTTTTAAATTGATTGGTGATCAATTTAAGGATTTTTAGAAATTTTAAAGATTGTAAATCATCTAAAACCGAATTGTTCTGATTTTTGCCTGTTTAGTAGTAGTCCATCCTATTAAATTGGTCATAATTTATCATACTGTATGCAAGGTAATAAAATCCATAAAAATGGTGTTTTACCCAATATTTATTATATGCTGCATAATAGTGTACCTACTTTAAAAGTATGGCTTGCCATAACAATCATATTGCTTTGTGAAACTCTAACTTGGTTAAATTGAAAAGGTGATGGAATAAAATAACAAAATTAATGATAATAATAATGTATGATTAAACTACTTTTTACTTCTTGACAAATATTTTTACTTATTGACAAATATTTTTACGTATTTACAAGTGATTATATTTTTTTTATTGCAATATTTAACTTTTAGTTTTAAGTGTTTTTATATATCTTGATGTAATTTGGTAACTTTATGTTTTTGACGTTTGTAATGTTTTTCTTTTTAACTGATGCTGAATAAATATTTTGCAAGATGTTGATAAGATTGAGATTTTGTTAGAAATTGTTATTTCTCATATTTAAAAAAAAGAAATTCTATTAGTACTGCTCTGCAATTGAGGAGAATCTAAACTTTAAATTGGTCATGCCATCCTCGTTTATTACAGCTGTGCAATGTGAACACACGAAATACAACAGCTTGCGTAGATCACTTGTTGTGATTGTACTCACTATTCCAAATCACTGTAAACAATGAGTGAGTCTCTATAAGGACGGTGTAACAATTCAAGAAGTACTTCTTTAAATTACTGAGAATCAAGTATGTGTTTGAAGTTGTACTCAAGTTTTTTTATTCCAGAATAAACTGTTGTGTAAAAGCCTACAAGTTCTGTTTACGAACCACTGCTAAGGAAGATAGTTCATTTTTTTTTGCTATGTGATGATAGCCCTGTCTCTTTCTAATCACATCTTCCTCTAACCTTGGGTAAGTAAATTTTTTAATATTATTATAATTTAACTTCATTAATAACAGTTTTTTTGTTTTTTATTTAAGATTTGTTTTGAATCATTTAAACAACTATTGCAGATTATCTGTAAATACTTCAATTAAGCTTCTCCTGCAAATGTATTTTTTTGTGTGAATTGATTTAGAGAAATACCAGTATATAGAAATAGCACAATTTCTCTAAGGCAGTATATTTTGTTGTCAGTTTGAAATGTGGGAATAATCTGTAATGCAACAATTCCCCAGTTTTACTAGTAAATATGTCCTGGATACATAATAAATTGACCTGAAAAAAATGTTTAATAGCTTAGTACTGTAATAAATTTAAATTGAATTTTAGTAGTAACTTATGCGAGACTTTCTCTATACCTTGTTTTGCAAACTTATTTTTTCAAATATCGTCAGAGGAGAGTGGGAAAAAATAAAATAAAAATTTGTTTTCTTACTTAGCAAATAACTTTGCCCATCCAGATGGAGGAAAATAAAAATAAAATTTAATTGGTAAATGTAAACAGTGCAGTAGTAATGGGTGGTTAAATGCTTTAAATTTATATAATTTTTATTTTTGGAGATTTAAAGGCAGCTTGTGTGTAATAAAAATAAATAAAAAAATTATATTTTTTTCTAAAATTTCTATTTTTAAGTGCCAGCGGGTGTGCTAATTGGCCAAAAACATAATTTTATTTTTATTCAAAATTATCATTTTTGGTGGGCAGCAGTTCACTACAAAGTATAAAAAAGTCTTGCCTTAACTAATAAAAATTCAAGCATTGAATTAAATTTTAAATTCTAATTTTTATCTCCACATGCATTACACCTTTAATCTCTCATTCATTTAAAATTTTTATTGGTAGAAAAAAATGTTCAGTAGAAAAGTAATAAATTTAAATTTAATTCAAGTAGTAAATTAATTCAAAAATAGTCAGCAATTTTAAGATTTTATCTTATTAGTATATAAAAAAATTATTATTTAAACAAAATGTTAAATACATTATTATGACCGTTATAACCAACAGTTGGGAGCCAATTTTTTTAATGGATGTTCATATCATGAATTAACACTTGTTTTATATGGTAATATTTTCATTGGTATATCAACAAATAGATTATTATAATATTAAATTGATTATTCTCAACTCATTGCCATCTGGACTTAGATAAATATGTTTTCCAGTTTTGTGAATACTGCCAATAGAAATTGTTATTTAATAATATTATATTATTGTGTATTTATAATAAACGTTTACTATTGATTTGTATTTTTGTATTGATAATGTAAAAATATATTTGTAAATGCCAACTAAATTAAATAATTTCAAAGTGAAATAACTTTTTGATATTGATCAATTGGTAAATTAAACTAATTTAGTTAATTACAATTGTTATTTTTTTCATCAATATTTTAGTTAAGAATGTGATCTTTTTTGTACGTTTTAACTTTCTGTATTGTTTTAATAGATGTCTTATGTAAATATCATGCAATTCAGCTTAGGTAAAATTGAATTGAATTGAATTATTAATTTGTAGAAGAATATTATCAATGGAGATATATAATTAAAAAATAAAAGGTTGGGATGAATGTATAGGAAAAGTAAAAGTTGTTATTTCTCAAATACGATATACATAGGCCTATATGAGAAATAAATTTTAACAAGTTAAACTATCCATATATGTCCAGAACTATAAATAGATTTTAAAATAATGAAGTTTTTTAGACATTGTCATATTTTAATTGTGTAGAAAAGTGTTTTCATTTGAAAACTAATCACTTACTGTCAAACATTCATTTTAAGAAATTCAAATATTGAGTTTGAGAGTTCAAATTAAGTAGCTCATATGTAGAAAGTATTTGCAGTAAGGAACATGTGTACTTAATATAGGGTTCGCGTGTGTTTAGCCTCTTGACATAGTTTGTGTATATAACATTGAATATTAATATTATCACAGCGCAAGAGGAAGGCAAAGTTATGGTTTTGATTAGGGTGGGTGGCATATCAGAAATAGCATATTGATAATAGACAGTTTGCAGCTTGATATGGCTAGCTGTTATTAACGATACTTTAAGTCATGTCCAGAAATTGTATTTTCCAAAAACACATGACATGCCTAAATATAGTCATGATGACATCACACCATGACCATATATAGGCACATTATGCAGTTGTTTTTTGTCAAATTATGTCACTGCCACTCTAGGGTAGTATTTTTACAAATAAAATCTACAATTATTTGTTTAAAACAAATACATTTCAGACCGTCCATGAGCCAATGACGTTAGCATGAGGTGTGGAGTGGCAACTTCTACTTGTTTTTTTATCTCATCTCTCAGTGCTTGATAATGCATGAATGCCATATTCACAGTGTTAAGGCAGCTAATTCGATACTAATTTGGTGCAGGTTTAGTGAGAGAGCTACCATAAATACAATAGACCTACACATATCTTTTTGTGGAATACTGTATTACTGTATATTAATGCGTGAGGTTTTGGTCCTTAAGAGTGAGAGGTTAATGAGAAAGACCTCAAATGCATGATTTTCATGCCTTATGTGTGAGACTTGGTAGGTCTAGACTGAATAATATAAATATTTGTATTCAATTAAATTAATTTAAATTTCATTCTATTGCCATATAATATAAACAACTGTACTATTGCTAGGCCATAAAATGTTAAATATGCTAAGAAAATGTAGGACGTGAATCTTAGAAGCTTCATTAATTAAACACGGCAGACTTTTACATTTACATCAGAATGAGATAATAATATGTTACACCCTGTTGCTTTTCATGTTCTGCCCACTTTCTCTAATTTATTGGCTTGACCTTTTGGTTATCACCCTGGAAGTTGATTAATATCATGATATTATGTGTATCATATTTAGTAATAGTAATAACTTAATATATTTATTAATTTAAAGAAATTTACATCTATAATAATTAGTATATTTCTAAAGATTTATTGGTGCACAATTCAAAGCTAATAAAATATTTGGTTTCTGAATCTTGGACAGCAAATTGTTTAAAAGTAATTTAAACATTGTTCTATCATCAAAAGTATGTTTGTTTTTTTTTTTCCCAACAATCTGTAGCTTTGTGGTTGGTGCTGGCCTTCTAATCCTGGGGTCCTTGGTTCACATCCTGTTATTAGTTTGTTCAGATTATCAAAGTTTCTTTTGACAAAATGCTGTTTGATGCCCATATATAGTCATGATGTGCCTATATATGGTCATGATGTGATGTCATCATGACCATATTTAGGCGTGCCACATGTTTTCATCAAATAAAATTTGATAGTCTGGACAGGGCTTTTATATACCAGTATGTTGTTTCATAACGAAATAACACCATATGCTGGACTCATAAATGTAGTTTATTAAGCATCGTTTCATCCTGTCATTTGCCTGTGGGATTGCTGTTGAGTGTGAAAGAAATATATATAATAATGTTTTTCAATTTTTGATTTCAAAGGTAATAAATTCTTTTTTATTATGAAAGTTTAATTTAAAATTAATATTGCATGACATTGTGTATGTATTAATCGATTTTATATAGCCAGGCAGACGATATATTAATTTCACATGCTTACAATCTATACTGTATCATGTTTCTGTGTGCTATCGTGATCTATGTTTACATCCGAAGCAGACTTTATTCAAGGTCAAGTTGAAAAGAGAGCAGCTTAGCTCAGTCAGCTGGTGGTAGCCACTGTGTGTGCGCTGAACTGTGGAGATCTCTAGGTCCCCGGTTCAATTCCCATCGCTGCGCTTCTTGTGTTTCAGCTGGAAGGCTGAAAAAGTTACGATAGCGCACTGTCTTTCAGATGAGATGTTTAAGCCGTTGGTCCTGTCTGCATTATTGCCTGTGTGCACGTTAAAGAACACAGTAATATTTGCAATAGTAATGGATTGTCTCCCAGTATACTGCTTAATCACCACCAGAAGGACGCCACAGGGAATATGTTTTCTTTAGATTTCGTGGGTTATCCTTGGTGTTTGCACCGAATAAATTTATCCATCTATCCAATACCCAGCAGTATCGTCATACCATCATACTTCCAAAATCATTTGGAGCTTCTAACGTCCAGTGACATTTGGGATATCTTGGGTTGAGTAATACACGCTTCCCTTCTAATCACGCATCAAATATCGCAAGAAAGTAAACCCAATTTAATCAAGTAGATTGCTGCTGTGAAATTGATATCCCTATCCTATGAGATTTCGCTGAGACAAGACAGTGTCGGTTAACAGGTGTCTATTAATGAAATCCAACCCCCTTCACCATTATCATGTTTCCCCTTACCCCAAGTGAATATTTCCATTTCCTCAAGCTGATGAGATGTAATTGTTATTAAACTCATTACTTACCTTCTCTTCCACATGAATAATAAATTGCGATAACATTATAATTTCTGTGAATTACCAAAGGCTACAATTCTAAAAATAATATTTGTCACAGCTCCTGTTTTCTTTTATAGCTAAGAAAAACTCAATTCCATAAGCCATATTCAGTCTCTGTTGTTACAGTGTAGTTTATCTCCTATTTTAGTATTTTTTAATAAATGCATCTTGAGACAATTTAATAGTTAAAAGTTTAGTGGCGAATCTAGGAATTCAAAATAGAAGGGGGCCCAGGGAAGGAATTTTACAGAAGAGTCAACACCACCTCAACCCCACCATAGTTGGAGCTGAGGTTTGAAATTTTATCATTATGGCACATCTAGATGGCTAGAAATGGCATTCTTATACTTACATTTCAATATAATTTTCTTTTTTTTCAAAATTTTTTTTTTGTATTTTCAAAAATTGAGTGTTCCTCAGCATCCCCCTTCCCCGGAATCCGCCTATGAAAATACAAGACTATCTTTTAAAAATGAAAGTCTAAACTCTATGTTTTTATTCATCTTTTTTTAACCAGCTGTCCCTGGTTGATGGTTTTTATCTAGATACGTGTTTATTCCCTTAACCCAGATACATCAAACTCG